TACATAAAGTCGGAAATTGGATAGGATATTAGCGGTTGTAGCTATGATACTTTCAGTTGCTTTTGACATGGCTGAAAGGAAATCTTAAAAATAAACAAAAAACAAGCAAAAACCCACAAGCATTGGAAATTCAGAGATACAGTGATGAGTGAGTTGGGTTTGGGAGTTCCAGAATGCCAACCAGGCTCTGCCTCTCTCCCTCACTCAGCCCTGCTCAGCGGCATGCTTTTTTTCTGCAGAAACTATCCTCTTGTGTGGCATGTCCACTGGGAGTCTGAAGTCATATATTTCCAGCTCAGAAGTTCTGGGAAGAAAAGACAATTTGTCCATTTTTCTTTGACAGAAAAGCTTGGGGAGGATTCTGATAGGCGGAGCCAAGGTCAGATGCCTACACCTGAGCCAATCATCCCTGGGGCCAAGGGGGAAGCAGAATGCCACTGTTTGCAGTTTTCCTCAAGAAAGGCCTGGTGCTTTTGCAAGAGGAAAGGGGACAGGACACTGAACAATGAGAGCTATGCCTGCTACTATAAACTCCACCATTCTTACTCCCTGCCGGGGTCATTACCATGCAGTGAGTTGACCTAGGAGTTCATTTTCCTCCTCACTAACCTTAATATCTATGTCATGAAGGAGCGCACAAATAAAATAATAAGGGAAATGTATGACTATGGGAAATCACCTGGACTGATATTTACAAAGATGTGAATATTTATTCTTAAAATGACCCCCAAATTCACTCACATGTTCAAAGTGGATGCTGGAAACACAAGCGTTTTGACAAAAGCAATCTTTCTCCAAGCAAAATGATGACACAAAGAGATGTTTTATAAAATTGAATTAAAGGCACTCACTATTTCAATGATGCTTAAAGGAAAGATGTCCAAAGACACCCTGACTGAGTATGTAGAATAACGTGAAAGTCTCTTCAAATATAGTATGTGCCTATCTCTCTTCCTTCCCTCTCTGCTTTTTAAAAAAATGCCCCTTTAAAAATTGCCCACTCACCATCTGTTAGGTAAATTTCCTGAAACAGTAAATGTGGAGGCAGAGATTGTTATAGAAACTATGCCAAATGGCATTGACATCTATATTTATGAGATTTTAAAAAGAGTAAGTTAGAGTTGTTTAAGAAAACAACAACACAATAATAATACCACACCATACCAGGTACCCAATTCTATCCAATTACATAGATAGATAGATAGATAGATAGATAGATAGATAGACAGACAGACAGACAGACAGACAGACAGACGGATGGATGATAGGTAGATAAGAAGAAAAAAGAAAGAACACTAGGCACTTATATATAAAATGTTACCCTAAAAGTCTGAGATAATATTCAAGCTTCAGTGGACAAAAAGAAAACATTTACAAATAGACAAATGTGTTTCACTTGTGATAGACAGGCCACAGGCTTAGATTGGCAATATCCTCCGACAAGGGTCAAGTGGACACTTTTCCCACTGAGCTGCTGTTGAGGGAACAGAACTGAAACAGACGCCGTTCAATTCCAAGTCTACAGCTCAGACTATGACACTGCACGTGAAATATGGCTGATTCAGACCCAGGATGTAGTCAGAGTAATTTATACTCTCAGAGTATTTGCTCTCAAGTCGATACCAGAGAAGCCTTGAATAAACACATTCCCATTACTTTCCGCTATCATGTATCTTTCTTATAGCCCACGAAACTGTGGTCCGGGGATCTAGCCTCTGGGCACTGTGTTACATAAGCTCTCTATGTTTAGCCATCCCCACCCGGTGATTATTTTCAAAACGTGTTACTGATCGTCAATATTAATTTGCATTTAATCTTTCTCAGCATCAGAGAGTATTACTGTGGCCAGGCTCAGGAACAAATCTCCAGAAATTCCTCTCCGATGCTTCTTTGAGGCTGGAAATGCATTGCAGGGTGGTAACAGTGACTTAATTATAGTTGGCAGAGCCCTGGCCACACACTAATTTCATTAGCCTCAAATTCTTGGGTTTGTAAGACCCACTGGATATGAATCCTGCCCTCAGCCATGCCACTCGCTAACCAATTCCGATAGAGGAGAGGGACAGAGAGACTTGCTCAGCTTACCTCTGTGGGACACCAGCAGGCAAGTGAGAATGTGAAGCCATACACGCTATGGGCATCTGAGCAGTCCTCGCCCAGGCCCTAACTGACAGAGAGGAACTTCGTTCCAGGCTCTGCTGGCAGCAGCAGCATTGGTGACATCTATTACTATCTCATTACTCCCTCCTGCGCCCCAGCGCTTAGCAACCCCCGTTTGAGTCACTAGGTATTCCTTCCCTAAGCCTAGAAGCTTCTCTCAGCATACATTTCTGTCTTAAAGGATAGGTTTGGCATAGGTTCCCACAGCAACCAACCCCCAGGGCTTGGGGAAAGGAGAACTGGAATTCAATCATTTAGAGGAGCTTCGTGTTTATAGGACCATCTTAATTGAGCTGAACTCACCAATCCCAGGGAAGATTCAGCTCCCTTTCCTTTCCTCGGTGCCTTTGAACAATGGGTCAGTCTGGATACCACTATTCTCTCTATTCAGCTTGCGAGTTTACACAGTCTGGAACCTGAGGGTTGGATTGCATGCCAGGAGTCTCAAAGATCACATGCAAAAAATGCTGCTATATATTCCAACACGGGCAGTGTTTAACCAGAATGCCCACACCTGCAGCGACAGCCAGCTTGAAGCACAAGCTACAAGTTGATGCATTCCTCCTCCTACCAGCCTCTTCTCAATAGAGGCAGGTGAAAACCGGGGGCTCTTCCCCCCACCCCAGCTGCTCACTCCAACATGAATAGCTGCAATTTGCAAATTAGGGGGGAATGACAGTGTTTTCTCTGAATGGCTTTGCTCCCAACCCACACTGCTAGCACTGGCATTCGGCTCCTCTGCTCCAGCCCAGAGAATGGAGGGACTGCGAGTGAGGGACTGCGAGTAAGGCAAGCTGCTTCTTTCCTCACAAGTGCCTCAGGTCCCCACACCAGAAGAGGAGCCAGCTCCCCCTGGAACCTGGCTCAGCAAAAGTCCTCCACCGAGTCTGCAGCCTCCCTCTGGACTTGAAATTTCCCTTTTCCTCTGGCAGGCCCATCTGCAGGACCTCCCAGAGTGAAGACAGAAACAGACAGCAAAACAGTTTCAATATGCTAACCACCAAACACTCCTTCCACCCCCAGGGTTCTGAAAACAAATGAATAAACAAACAAACAAAAAACACTGGGAATTGCAGGGGGATTCCCAGGTGATGTCTGACGCATCCTCTCCCAGGCAGGGTACTGCCCCCACAGGTAGTCTAGCCTTAACTCCGGAATGAAGGCAGCTCTGGGGTTTTGCTTTGAACAACTCCAGCTCTTCCTAAAAGCCTCAGCTCAGAGTGAAGGCTGCCCCCAAGGCACCTGATCTTCAGGCTCCTTACTTCGGAGGCCCAGACCTCAGAGAGGCCAAATCAGGCTGCAGCCGGGGAAGGCACCCCTCCTTCTGGCACAAACACAAACTTCACACTCCTGAGAGGGAGCTGATGTGGTGACAGCTTGAATCTCACACGAAATCCCCCCCAGAAACCCAACAACATCCTTAAGAAAAGCCCAGGAGAGGGAGCCAATTCTCTAACTGGGGCCACAGGGCACCAGAGTCAGCCCAACATCTGGGGGGGACTCCCTGGGTCTGGGCACTGCCAGGTAGGAGAGAGCGCGCTGTGCACCAGGAAAGGCTCCCTCAAGACAGAGAGGGACCCAAAACTAGGAGGTGGGGGTGGAGGGAGAGGAGAGGCAGGCATTGGAAGGAAGGGTAAAAAATAGAGGGGGAAAAAATGAGGGAGAAAGGAGGGAAAAAGACACAGGGAGAAACATGGAGAGACAAGGATAAGGCAACCCACTGTCTCACAGACCCTCAGTTTCTTCACCCCAAAGCCGTGAATACCCCAAGGCAGCAGGCAGCAGCGGCAGAACAGAGGCTGCAGAAGTGCTGGCCAGGGAGCTGCGGTGGAACTCACCGCCTAGGGGACCCCTCCGCCTTCTTCCCCTTTCGTGGGTGCCCTCTGGCGCCCATAGCAAGGTGCGCCCCACTCACTGCCTGGCTCCCTGCTCCTTCTCGCCCGGCTCTGGGACTTGTCCTGGGAGCAGGACTGGGGCTGGGGGGCTCTAGGTAGGGTGGGGGGGGGGGGAGTGGGCTGCCTTAGGGAGGTCTCCGGAAAGGGCTGGAGGAGGGATGAGGCAGGGAAAGCGATTTTGTTTCTTGTTAGCATGAGCTCATCTCTGGCTCTGAAGTGGCAGGAGTAGAAAGCCCATCGCCCAGCTCCTGCCCATGGCCCGGCTGCCAGTGCCATTTAGATGGTGCCAACATTGGCACCCAGCAAACCACCAGGGGGTCACGTCTGAGTCTGAAGGGAGCTCTCCCCACTTGGGGAGCTTCACCCTGGGAGACGGGCTACAAGTCGGGGAAGTCAGCCCAAGGGGTGGGCACTCAGCACCCACAGGCAGGCAAGGACCCAGCCCTGGGTGTGAGCGGCGCCTCCCCAGCGCTTCTCCAGTCCTCCCGGGGCCGCTGCGGCTCGCGGCTGGGGGCCGGAGGCCGGGGAGGTGAAAGATGCCCGGGTTCCAGGCGTCTGTCTTCTCCTCTTTCACACTCCCGGCGCCTACCCTGCACTTTACCAGCCTGTTTGGGGGCCGTTTTTCACTCTAATGCAAACCCATTTAAATCATCGCCTTGTTTTTCGCAGATTGCTTCTTGTAAACGGGGCCGTAAATCCAGGGTGCCGAGTTGGATGGATGGAGTGGAGCGCGGACAGGGGAGAGGTGCGGGGAAAGGAACCCAGCAGGGAAGAAGGCACTTTCTCGGGTGGGGTGGGGGGGCGAGGGTTCCGCAGGACCTCCCGGGTGGAGATGCGCGGAGGCTGACCTGACCCTGCACCCCTAAAGTCCAGCTTGTTTCTTTAAAAAGGATAAACAGCGCGGGGAGGCTCGGCGCGCTTGTCCCGCAGGGAGCGCCCCCCTACCTGGAACAGCCTCAGGATGTTGGCTACCATGATGGAGACGGAGCTCCCCGACGCCCCGATCACGCCCACCACTTTCTCAGGCCTGACGAACACGGGGGGCTCGCCGTTGGTGCAGCGCACGTCGGAGGTGTCCTTCTGGATGAGCGCCTGCACGAACGTGAGCGACTGCTCCAGCGCGTACGTGTCCCGGGAGCAGGTGTCCAGGATCCGCGCGCCCAGGGTCACGTTGGGCAGCAGGTTGGGATCGCTGTTGATCTGGTCCAGGGCGTAGAGCATCGCCTCCAGCCTGTGGATCCCGTTCTCCCTCTTGATGTCGCCGCAGGGCACCCCGCTGGGGCCCTTGGCGTGCACCGGGAACAGCCCCCCGAGGGTGACGTCCCCCTCGATCCGGATCGAGTGCGGGGCGTACATCTCCTGGCCGCGCGCCGCCGCCGCCAGCGCGCACAGGAGCACCTCCAGCACGCAGCAGGGGAACTTCATCAAAGTCAGGGCGCGGAGCAGCTGCCGGAGCTGGACCATGCTGCTCCCGCTGCTCCGGCGCCCCGGCTGCCCCGGCGACTCCTGCTGCCCCGGCGGCCCCGGCGGCTCCGGCTCCGGCTGCGGCGGCGGCGGCGGCGGCGGCGCTGGAGGGTGCGGTGGGTGGCGGGCTCGCCGGGGTCCAGGCTCCTCCGTGGGATGAGTTCCTCGGGGAAAGCCCGGAGGAGGCTCCTGCTGTCACCGAGGGTGGGGGCACCCGGGGAGGGGCGGCAGGAGGAGAGTGTGGGGGGGTCCCGCGGCGCCTGCCAGCTCCGGGCGCCGTGCGCTCTCGGGCTCGCCGGCCGGCGCTCCGCACGGGCGCTCGCTGCTTGCCGCCGGAGCTCTTCCACAGCCCAGCACTGGGGAGAGGGCACGGATTGCTATCGCTTTAAATGGTCGTTCGGCTCCCTCTCCTCCTCCTCCTCCTCCCACTCCCTCCCTCCCTCCCTCGCTAGCTCCGGGTCTATCCCCACCCTTCCCAGCGCCCGCCCTCCCCACTGGTTTGCATCATCACGCAGGGAGGGACTGCGTGCTGGGGAAAGGGGGGGGGGGGACTGGGTGGGCGGCCGGCGTGTGGGGGTACGGGAGAGGGAGTGCCTGCGATTGGGAGTTTCTAGGTCCCCAGGGAATTTAGGGATTCTGGCCCCCATCTCTCTGTAGAAGCCTCTTGATCTAGCCTGCACCCACAGGCGCCGGAGGCATCAGCCCCAGGATGAACGGTGCTGACAGCTCCAGCCCTGAGTCCCAGCTGCTGTCAGCTCCTGGAGAATGGGAGTCTCTCGCAAGTGATGGAGGGAAGGACCAGGGAAAGACCGTCTCTACTGCTGATTTCTCCGTGTCAGTTTTTCTCAAGAAAAACATACATACACACAGGAGCCTGATTCATGACTTACAGAACCTTTACCCACACACCTCCGCAGCGCTCGCTGCAGGGAAAGATGCAACAAGAAACGTTAGCAATGGGAGAAGAACATGCTTGGTCTTCAGGGTTTACTGGGGTCAAAACAGGATGAACTCACCGAAGTAGCCCCTAGATCTGTGGTGGGAACCCCAGACTCCCCCTTTGTCTACTTCCCTGGCAAGAGATGGAAGGACTGAGAACTCTGCGGAGCCCACTGCCTTCCAGGTGCTGACAGGTGGAAGGCTCTCTCCTACCCATTTCCAGAGATGCCTCAGGCTGGTGACAGGTTCTGGAGGGCGGGAAAGGCAGAAATTCGGGCAGGTAGGAGGAAGAAAGCCCAGCAGACAGAAGTCTCCTCAGCGATTCCCGATGTCTTTCTCTCCAAACCAAGATGCCAGAGCAGGCTGCAGGGCAATTAAGAGGCTCTTTTTCAAAGGTGTCCCTGCAGGCCCAGCGCAAACTTGACTGTGAAAGCAACAAGTGGCCCTAGTTCCTATATTAGGAAAGGTGATGTCTCTGTCCTTGGGGACCAGAGTGCACTGAGGCAGGTTAACCCAGCTCTTATCCAGGCTTTCTGCTGGAGTGCAGTAGAGCCATATGCACAGATTCCAGGGTGAGAGCAAACTAGAATCAAGGCTAGACCTTGTTTTGTTGTTGTTAATCCTCACCCAAGGAGAATATTTTCTCATTGATTTTTTTTTTCTTCTTTTAGAGAGAGTTTAAGGGAAAGACAAGAGAAAGAGAAACATTGATGTGAGAGAGACACATTGATTGGTTGCCTCCGGCACATATCCTGATCAGGCTGGGAAGAGAGCCTGCAACTGAGGTATATGCCCTTGACTGGAATCTAACCCAGGACCTTTCAGTTCTTGGGCTGATGCTCTATCCACTGAGCCAAACCAGCTAGGACAAGACTATACTTTTTTGTTGTTCTTATTAATGTACTAAAGAAAGATGACCTTGTACAACAGTAGACAGGTAATTGGTTGTCTCTGCCACTAACTACATGGGTACCCCTTGGCATTTCTGATCCTCCGGATGGGTTTTAGTTTCCCCATCTGTAAAATGATGAGATTGAATTGGATGCCCTCCAAGTTATATTTTAACTCCCAAATCCTCTGTTAAAATAGGCCATGTGCTTTTGGCCATGGTGCTCTTTTTAAGCCAATACATTCCATTGCTTTATATGTAGGAAACCAACGTTGCAATATCCAAAAAATTTACAAACTTTTCCTGGGATAGAGGACTTTTATTTTTCTTGCCCACCATCTATTCCTCTTTTTTTCTAAGGACACTTGAGACCGTCAATTTCTTTTTGGATATGCATTTTCTCCATGTTTCAATATTTAAGGTTTGAGAAAAATAGACGCCAATTCCCATAATCCAGGCTTGGCTAGTCAAAGCATGGGATCCTTTGAACTATAGTGATGATGAGATTAAGGATGAGTATGGGACTCAACAAAAATCTTCAGGACTTTGCTGAAATAACCCCAATAGTAACACAGAGTTACCACTATTCAATAGTTACCACTATCTATCTAACTGTGCATGAGTTAGGGGGGAAAAAAGCATTCCCCCCAATCCAAGCCTCAAAACATTTTATATCTTGAAAAGTGTAGTATTCTGATTTTATAAGAACAACATTTACTGCCATCTTCAAGAAAAGAGTGCTGTAATTAATATGCTAACCTACCCATGTGTGCAATGTGGTTATCCATCACTTTTAGGTGTGATGCTCTGCTAAGAAGTGCACGCTTTGTACACCCCTGTGCTGTGATGGCCCAGCCCCTTCCTGCTGGGCCAGGAGCTCTGTGAGAGGGCAAGAAGCCTGTAGCTGTGCCAGGAGCTTCCACATAAACGGGGGCATTTTAACCTCATACTACGAGATACAAGAGAGGGAAAAGGAAGAGGGGAGGAGGGACGGGGCAGAGATAAAGAGGGGCCTGATGAAAAGATTTGAAATCCTGGATTCAGCCTTGCCTGGAACACTGCCTCTAGATTATTTCCAATTATACACTATTTCTTTTCCCTTGCTCAAAACCAAAAAGATCCTCTTTTAATTCATCTGTTCTAGTACACCAGATCAAAAAATGGTGGAGCAGCTGAAACAGCTACTGTTTGCGGTAGCATCAGCTAATTTGGAAAGATAAAAAGAAGCAAACAGAGTAATAGAAAGGCATACTTGGAAACACAAGTACTGTGATCCTATTATTTAGGCGTCGGAACGTCAGGCTGTATTTGTCAGAGACTAGATCATTATTAGGTTATTTATTATGACTTGGTGATTAAAAAAAATATTTGGAGAGCTGGTTGCAAGTAATGACACTTGATTTTTTTTTTGATTTTTTTTTTACCTGCTCATGTCTGGACCCATGTTCTACTCCTCTGTTTCCTTTCTTTCTTTTTTTTTTTTTAATATATTTTATTGATTTTTAACAGAGAGAAAGGAAGAGAGATAGAGAGATAGAAACGTCGATAAGAGAGAAACATAGACCAGCTGCCTCATACACACCTCCTACCGGGGATATGCCCGCAACCAAGGTACATGCCCTTGACTGGAATCAAACCTGGGACCTTTCAGTCCACAGACCGAAGCTCTACCACTGAGCCAAACCGGCTTCGGCTCCTCTGATTTCTTTTTAAAAAATATATATTTATTGATTTCAGAGAAGAAGGTAGAGGGAAAGAGAGATAGAAACATTGATGATGTGAGTGAATCACTGATTAGCTGCCTCTTGCATGGTCTGCACTGGGGATCAAGCCAGCAACCTGGGCATGTGACCTGATGACTGGGAATCAAACCGTGACCTGCTCATAGGTCTATGCTCAGGTATTTCAGCAGGGCTACACCTCCATTTTCATTTCATTGTGATTGCTCAATAAACATATCTTGGCTGACTATTAAATGTTGCCTATTCTGTGTTCTCTGTTAGCCCTGCTCTTCTCCCCAAACATCTGGCAGAGTCATTATCTTCTTCTCGTTGCAGTCACCTGTGCGCATGTCTTGCTTCCCCTGCCAGGTTGTAAGAGTCTTGAGGATAAGGGCTGGGTATTCTTTGCCTTTTCTCCTGGATGGGGATGTTTAGAGTGGTGTTTTATACCTAAGAGGCACTTCTATGTTCCATGAATCAGAACTGGGTTTGCCATTCCCCACTGTCTTTATTCGACAGTGACTGAAGTACAAAGTGGCAGAGCAGAAAAGATGGCAGATAAATTGCTGTCCTCTTAGTCACAGTATGCAGTTTCTAGAACGTAAAGGATGATTAGTGGGCTTACTAGTAATTTCCCTTTACATAATTTTGCATAAGATTTGAACACTCTAACCTTAAGGCCCTCAATCAACTTTAATTGGAAGGCTCTAATCGGTTCTTCGTGACTCCAGTACCCATTCCTGGACCAATACCTGGGGCCATAGCCATAGCCTGGCTGAGGAAGGACAGAAGCCAGGCACTAGCACCACCTGAACCAAATGGAAAGAGTGATCTGTTATCACATAAATGGAAAACTGATGCATAGGATCTGGAACTCAATAGGTGACGTAGTGTTTATTTATTTTTTTATATTATATGAATGGAAAATCCTTGTGTAAGAATGGCTAATCCAAAACTGGGCCCACCATTGTTCTAGTGTTATATTTAATTGGAGGAGAATCTAGTTTTAGACACAAAGATGATACATGATAAAATGTGTTCCCGGGTTTGGTTCTGTGTAGCCAGTAATCTGTCCTTATTAATGAGATGGGTAGCTAAAGTTAAGGGCTCAGCCTAACTTATATTCTTACTGTTGTGTTTTCTTAATCATCTCAGTTCTATTTATTTTCTTTGTTGTTTTCCCCTGCCCATCAGCTTCTGCAGAAAATGTCTCCATTTCCAATTTATAATTACAACGTTGTCCTCCTTTGCTGCTGCGATCCCTGTTGCTAATTTGCTCTGGCTGCCCTTCCATCCTCATGCAGGTCTCCATCCGCAGCTTCCCCCCAGCTCCACCCGCACACTCTTGCCTTTGATTTGAACTACTGAGTGGAGGTCACTTTTTCTTAGAGAGACAGAAAGAGGAATTATTTTCTAGTTCACCTGTTATGATTTCCTGTCCTATTTATTTG